AAAAAAAAAAAAAAAAAAAAAAAAAGGCAAACTTAAATTGTAGGCCAATATTATCTTCAATTCATTAAGAAAATTAAAAGTAAAAATCAATAAACCCTATAAAGCAAATATCAGCCAAAAAAATAGAATTTTTGGTGAAAAAGTTAATATGCTTCTTGGATCGTAAAAATTGAAAATAATAAGCACTAAATCTAAGAAAACAAATGAACTAAAAACATAATGTTTGGCGAAAAGTTAAAATATTGGCTTATTGGGTCGTAAAAACTCGAACCCAATGTAAATTGAGAAATCAAAATCCAAGATAAAGAAACTAAAAAATTTGAACTTTCACATGTAAAAGGGCAAATAAAAAAAAAAAAAAGAAATCATGAGTTGAAAAAAATTGATTGAGCATCGGCTGATCAAAATCAAGGATCAAAATCCAGTGTCCTTTCAAATACCAACTTTTTCAAAATTCAAAACTAAAGCTCAACTTTGTTTCGAGAAANNAAAAAAAAAAAAAAAAAAAAAAAAAAAAACTAAAGCTCAACTTAAAAAAATAATCATATATATTATATTATTATTACAAAATTACAATTTACAAAATAAATAAAAACCTTACATATTAAGTTAAAAATTTATACAATTATATATTATACATATAAAACTAATGATAAAAAATAAATACAATTATTTTGTCTAAAGAGAAATGTCAATATACACTATAAAACTAATGAAAAAAATACAATGCAGGGCGAGGTGACGTTCTATTAACTGATTTTTTTTTTTTCTCTTAATACACTTGTGATTGTAGGTCTTTGATTTTAATTGCTTCTCTGATGTCTTCTCTGATGTCTGTTACATATTAAAAAAGAGAAAAATGAATCTAATAAGAGGCCAGAATGCAATAATAACAATAATAACTATCTCTGACGGTTACATGATGATCTAACAGTTAAAAAATAAAGTATACTAGTACTAATATCTATGTACAACATGTGTGTTGAGTTAATGTATATATGTGTTGTTAGAATATCACTTGTGAGTTGTCCCACATTGTTAATACATGGAAAATAGACCCACTTAATAAGTTTAATGGGCTACTCCTCCTTTCACCAATTGGTTTTGGGATGGAACCCCACTTGGGCTTCATATGGGCTTTTCATTTTCCCCCCAGTTTCTTACATGGTATCAGAGCAAACCTAACTCCACTAGTGAAAAAAAAGAGCATAAAATACATGAAAAATAGTCGTAATTTGGCATGTCTTTATTATTATCATCCGTAGCACCACTAGCTTTTTCTCACCACTCTCAACACCCCAATAATTATCTTCCAATTCTCTCTATATGTATCTCACATAGTCACATGAAAAACAATGCAGTTTACTCCCACTCCCAAACACAACTATACAAGCCTATATGCCTACCTTATCATAACTCACTTAATTACCACGCACAATAGAGAAGAAAAAAAAAAAATGGAAATACCAGCTTCTGACCATGTCATTCTATTCATGGATAGTCAAGACCATAGCCAGAAAACTCATTCCCTTGATCAACCAAACCCCAAAAGGAACCTATTGCCCGACGCCGCCAAACCGCCTCTGCCCCCCTCCTCGGCCCAATCCCTACGCCGTTTGAGCTTCTCTAAGCCCAAAGCCCGTTTCGTCGAGTTCTCTCGTCCGTTGACCCAAAAATTTTCCTACGCGCCCGAAGAATTCGAGCCCATGAAAAAATTTTCGGACACTTCTGACACAGACGACGATGAAAGTGAGGATGAGGAGTACCGCGAGTACGACGAGGACGGCTTCCGCAAGGAAAAGCCCCGTAAAAAGAAACTCAAAATCAATTGGAAAATCTTGATAGAGTGGATAATATTCATCACACTATCCTCCAGCTTAATATGCTCCCTCACGATACCGACGCTCAAGAACCAGCTCGCGTGTGGGCTCGGGCTATGGCGGTGGTTTTTAATGATTTTGGTTATATTCAGCGGCCGCCTCGTCTCCGGTTGGATAATCAAAATCATGGTGTTTTGCATCGAGAGGAATTTCATGCTGCGCGAGAAGGTTACTCTAAACTATTTTACTATTATGCGTATTTGTTAATTCACTGATCGTTATCGAGACGGCCACACTGCACTAATCTACATATAGTTAATACACAACTTCCTTTAAGGGTCAGTAATAACAGGGAATATCCAACCATCTACAGTAAATGAACGGTACTATTCCGTGACGGGACTGTAGCCTCCCCCAAATACATAACTATTAAAAGAAACTGCTAATTATTTTTGGTGTTGATCGACTTTGGAATGAATAGGTGTTGTACTTCGTATATGGGATACGTAGGAGCATCCAAAACTGCGTGTGGCTCGGGCTCGTCCTCGTCTCGTGGACCTTCATCTTCAACGCTAAGCTCCACAAAAAGAACGCTCTCGTGGAGAAGTCTTTCCAAGCCCTCGTGGCCTTCCTCATCGGGGCCACGATCTGGCTCATCAAGATCGTGCTCGTCAAAGTGCTCGCGTCGTCCTTCCACGTCGCCACCTACTTCGACCGCATGAAGGAGAGCGTGTTCCACCACTACGTGCTCGACACGCTGTCGGGTCCCCCCATGGATGACGTGGCGTACAAGGAGGCCCACAGCCGGAACCTTGGGGTGTCAAGGTCGATGCCCGCCAAGGTAAGGGACTCGTCTAGGGTTTTGTCGAGGAGGTACGGGACGAAGAGGATAGATATAGAGAAGCTGAAGAAGCTGAGCATGCAGAGCACGGGGTCCGCGTGGACCGTCAAGAGGCTGGTCAACTATGTGAGGTCGTTCGGGCTGACCACGATATCCAAGGCTGTTGATGAGTTTGGTCGGGCCGAGTCCGAGATCACTAGCGAGTGGGAGGCCAGGAGCTGTGCCAAGAGGATATTCAAGAATGTGGCCAAGCCCGGTGCCAAGTAAGTCGATTAATTACATATATCTATCAATTAATTTAGATTTTTCTGTTAACCATGTTGTGTTATATATGTTCAACTAAGAAAATAATGTTCGTGATGCTATAACTAGAAGAATTGGAAAATTTAAATGAAATAATTAGTTACTTTTTTTATTTAACAATTTTTTTATATATGGTTTTTTTTTTTTTTTTAA